GGGTGGCGGTGGCGCGGGCAAGGCTGTGGGGGGAGGGGATGGAGGAGGAGTTGAGCCCGGACACGCGGCAGCGGCTGTCTGTCCGTCTGGCTCGCCGGACAGTTGGCAGGGCCTGAGGCTGGGTCTTCCAGTCTGCCTTCCGCCCCCTTCCCCTGGGCGGGAAGGGTGGTTTTCCTAGCAGGCCAGGATTCCCGTCTGAGTAGCAAGGGCAGATGCGTTTCCGTGGCGCGTCTCCGGGATTATTACCCCTCCCAGAACTGGATAGAGGCCCACGGAGGGGCAGGACCGCCTCCCTCCCCGACCCAAGGTGGCCCGAGGCCAGTGGCAGGACCAGGAGCAACAGCCAGGGCCCGGGGGCACCCGGCCCCATCTCCATCCCCAGGCAGTCCCGGAGTGTAGAGTGGGCGGGGGGCCTGGTGGGAAATGGTACCGATTAGCACCCCCAGCCCCGGATCTCAGGGCCCGGTCGTTGTGAGGGCAGTGTAGGGTGGGTGTGTGGCGAGAAAGGAGAGTACCTTTAGCCCCGCCGGCCTCTCTCTAGTCCCGGATCCCCCCCGGCGGGGCCACAGCCTCTGGTAGGAGCAGGGGAGCGAGAAGGCGCTGGGCCGGGGGCGCACGACAGGTGCTGTCAGTCCGCTGGTCCGACTGGCCCGGGTGGGCGGGAGAGCGGCCCGGCTCGGCTCTGCCCTCCTCTTGCCCGCAGCTGGCCGCGGGCTCTGACACTTGGTAGATGTGAGCAATGGGCTAATTTTATCCGGCTAGGACTCAGCAAGAAACCAACTATGAGGCACATAGTTCTTCCGGGCGACTCTGACCCCAGGGAGGCCAGTCGCAGGGAGGGGAGGAAGGAATTCTGCGTCTCGGTCCCGGCGGGGGTCGCGGTGGACCTTTTCTTGCCCCAGAGAAGACCGAGTTTTGGTGCCGAGTGGGTAGGCACCAGGCCACTGTGGTCCAGAGGAGGAAAGGGTATCTTGGAAAGAAGATAGAACAAATTCCGTCCTGTGTTCTTCCTTTCCTTAAGTCCCTGGGTTCTAGCAGAGTGCCTGACATACAGCAGGTCTGTAGAAAATATTGCTCAAATTGAAAGCCAGGCTTGGAGCTCTGCATCTAGTGACCACTAGAGAGAGCTGAAAGGCAGGAATCAAAGGGCGTATTGAAGCACAGCTTCCTCAACTACTGCAGGAGCTGGGTATCTAATTCCTTTCCTTGTGCCTCTGCCATTTCCGCTACATCTCAGTCCATTAGAATTTCAGAACTTGTTTCAAGGGCTGTTGTTCTAACCAGCACCCACCCTATCTAGGCACCAGCTGTGTGAGACACTGAGGGTTTGCAATCCCTGTCAGCTGGCCTGCTGTGCTACTGTGGAGAAGTGGCAGGGAGCTGCTGGCTGCCTTTTCAGACATGAAAAGGCCCTGGAGGAGAGCATATTCTCATAAAAATTATGAGATTCCACAGCTTTGAAATCTAATGATCCTGAGTGATCAAATGCAGGCTGGGCCCTTGGGGCTGCTGGGGGAGGGGCTGAGGGGACACCAGACCTTGGGTGGGAGAACCTGGGGCCTGGTAGTGGGACAGAGTAATTATCCTTTGTGGGAGGAGATGAGGAGGCCAGCAGCACCAGGGTGTCTGCACTGAGTCAGGGGAGAAATGACAATAGTCAAGAGCTGGGCAGTACACCACCCTCTCCCAAAAGAAACCAGTCCCTTCTCTTCACCACTGCCCTGCCCCGGTGTATGGCTCTCAGGAGATGGACTTTATTTGTGCCTCTCCAGTTGCTGGGGTGGAAGGGCAGTAGGTGGAACCAGATCTCCAAGGCAAAGGCTGCATGAAGGTCTAGAGTGCCTAGGAGAAAGAATACCAAAAGTATTTGTTGGTTGGGGGTGAGGGTAATCGTGAAGAGATGAGGTATGCTAGAAGTCAGATTTTGCTCAGCTTTCATTTTTGCTCAGAGGTGGTCCTGCCGACACCCTTTTGGAAATGGGCTTGCCACATAATTGTTGGATGAAGTGGGCAAGTCATTTTCCCCCTCCTAGGGCCAGTTTCCTCATCTGTGAAATGAAGGGTTTGGACTGGACTGGAAGTCAATTACCTGAGTTCAAGTTTCAGCTCGCTCTGTCACTGATGAACTGTACGAATGGGCTCCAGTCCCTTCCTATATCTAGGCCTCAGTTTCCCCACTTAAATTCAATGCAGAGTATTGACAAGGGGGACTCTAAGGTTACTCCCAGCTTTGTCATTCCTGTAGGTCTCTCTCCTGCATCACCCTCAACTCCAGGCTCTGTCGCTGCCAGGCTGTGTAACCCAGATATGCCAGTCCCTTCAGGTTCCCCATCAGTAATATAAGGGAGAGGGATGGGGGATTGAATTGGATTGTTGCTAAGGTTTCAACATGGCACATTTGTAGCAAGGTGGTGGCCTTGGTGGGGCCTCCACTCTGACTCAGCCAATGAATGTTCTCATTTTGTAAAGTAACAATTTTTCCACTTCAGAGCTCCCTAAAAAATTTAATCTCAAACAGTTCACCCAACTGCAATCCTCATATATAGTTTCTTTTCCAATTTCTGCTCTCACAGAGAGCATAGACCTTGGCAGAAATTTGATTTGAAACAAGACTTCAGTTTTGAAGTCAAACTTCCTACTGTAATCAGGTTAAGACTATTCACTCTTGTAGGTAACATACATACCAAAACCAAATTTTTAGATCTGTTTATTTTGTTCCAAACCCCTTGAGTATTTAAATGTCCCAGGTCTCAAGCTCTGAAATTTTGTTCGTTCTCGTACTTAACTGTGGTGGATAAGAGGTTGCATCCTACTCTAAATATTAATACTGTGCTGCTTTTGCCAACCAACATTCTCTCCCAAAACACACAAGCTCACACATGCATGTGTGGAAGAAGTGAACTGACACCGCGCCATGTTCTGTGACACCTGAATGGGCAGATTTGGGACCTGTGAATGTCCTTTCTTCATCTAGAGAGAAGTGGGTGGCACCCTGATTCTTAAGAGCTATCCATGCCATCAGCAACAAAAGAGGCCCTGCAGAACTCTCCTCCGGAGGCAGGAGCATTGTTGCTCCAGTATTTTCAGTGGTCTGTCCTGGGAGTTACAGGGCTCCTGGAGCTCAGTTTCTCCTGTTCCACTGCTGTTTGAGCTGACAGGATAGTAACTAGGCCCCTTCCCACCCACAGAGCCAAGAACCAGTGGGTTTTCCTTTGGGGTGTTGAAAAGAGCTGGACTGGAACCAGTGGAGGGGGCTCAGGACTTTGGCCTTGAATAAAACCTTCAGAGGCCAGCCATGCCCCAGCTGCCTGTTTGTAACGGAAAAACTCATGGGTGGGGACCATTGTCTTCTTTGGAGCCCCTCAGGGCAACCTCATCCTTCTGGCCCCAGGATGACCCTGGCTCGGGGTGGCAAGTTACTATTGGCTCCAAGTGACAGCCAGGGATGCATGGCAAGGAGATGACGAAAGGGTGGGTGTCAGGAACACAATAGACAAAGGCCCAGAGAGGAGAAAAAGAGACACAAAGAGGCAGAGTGAGGAGGGAGGCTGAGCTCCTAATGAGGTGAGCTGTGCTAGCTGGACACAGCCTGGCAGTGCCCTCTGCCCCTGGCCGGGGATACTAGGAATGCTTTTCAGTAAGACTGCTGCCCAGAGCCTGGGCAGAGGCAGCATCTGGCACCTACTGCAGAGGAATGAAGGCAGTCCAGAGTCTACCTTTCCTGGCACTTTTAATGCCCACTGAGCAGAGTGGCTCAGGATGCCCAGCATGGGAGACACATTGGGTGGTAAGGGTAGGATGGCTTCCTCTTCCTAAAAGAAATTGTCCAACCCCATGTGCAGCTGCTACCTGTACTTTTTAGGATCCAGGTAGAGAACGGGGCTTTTCTTAAACAGTCCTTTTCCTGGCTTGGCCCAGATGGAAATATTGACCTGTCATGAAAACTGAGATGGAGGAGTTGGTCCTTCACCACGTCCGTAACCGCTGCCCCTCCCCCCACCATGCCAGCTCTGTCATCAGTCCTCCGCTGCCTTCTGAGATGAAAGGAGTTTCTTCACATTTTCACAGGTGAATACAAGGATGGGGAGCTGGGAGGGTCTCCATGTTAATGCATTAGCCTGGGAAATCATCAAGTGGAACATGGAACTCTATGGTGTTTAAGGTCCCTTCCATTTATGGCATTCTACTTTTCCAGTCTATGACTATATCAGCTTGAGCCAAAAAGTGAGATGTGGCTCAGCCTGAGATGAGTGGGATTGATGCTAGTGTTAGGGGTGAACTGGGCCAAAGTGAGGCTGATTGGCCCAGGCTCTGGGTCTCTCCTTTCTTCAAGCACCCATGTGTCTATGACAGTCATAAAAAGAAATAGAGAGGGAAGAGAATGGAGAGGAGGCAGTAGAGTAAATTAAGAAGGGAGAGAAGAGGGAAATAGATTGTTAACGAACCATATGATGGGGATATTGCCTTCTTGGGAGGCCCTCAGAAACTCTTAGGCTAAACAAGGCTACTTGTCTCATTTTGCCCTCCCAATGGCTCCCAAGGATGGATGGCAATGAACTTAGCAAACAGAAGTTTGGGTCTACCTCACTAGGCTCCTGGGGACACAGTAGCACCTTTGGCAGTTGATTTTAGTGGGTGACTAACAAGCTGGGGCCAAGAGGTTCCATCCCTCTCCTTCCCCAGGGGTTAGAAAGTTTATGGAGAGATTCCAAAGGCCAGGGAGTGATCCCAAACTTTCCCAGATCCTGGGAGGAGAAGGGCCCTGGCAAGTTTAAAGGCATTCACAGGGAGAATTTGGTTAAGGAATTTGGAACACCTGGAGATTTGGCTCCAAGGGGATGGTCAGGTGGCTGAAATGCTGTGTGCACAGGTTTGGGAACAAGTGTGCTGGTGGCAAAAATGTAAATGCTGAGCAGGGTGGGGTGAAGGGGCAGGGCTGGGGAGGAGCACACAATGGCAAGAAAGAGGCATTAGATTGGTTCCTCAGGAGTAGGGGAGCCTGGCAGCAGCTCCCCATTGGGGTCCAGGTCTGGGGCCAGCATCTTATCCTTGCTGGAATCCCTCTGCTCTTTCTTGAACATCCTTTGATGCATCAGAGGGACAAAGAAGAGGATTATAGCCCCGATGATGGGCGGCACACCGGCAAAGTAGAAGGCCACATGGTAGTCCCCAAAACAGTTGCGGAGGAGGCCTGAAACAGTCAAGAGAGACAAGTCAAGCTCAGCTTTGCCCTACCACCCAAAGGGGCTCTCTGCCTCTTCTGGAGCCATCACGGTGCCTATCCAGAGAATCTTGGTCTGCACTGCTTTGACTCAGGAGCTCTCTTAACTGCAAAGGCTGGTGGCTCCTCTCTGAGGTAGTAGGGCTGCAGGCCCTTTGAAGTGAATGCTCATCATGAAAGAAGTTAATGAAGCTTCTCTTAAAGCTTTTCTGTTTGTGACTTTCATTAACCTACAGCCACAGCTAACTTCCAGTCATTTCTAGGTTAGTTAGGAGGGAAACTAGTTTTAAAAAACTCCACAGAAGATAGCCAAGCCTTGTCTTTGTTCCCCATTTCCCCCCATCCCCCAAATTGTTCTGGTGGAACAATGCAGCTGAATTCCTATTTGCCTTTCTCTGATGTTCCATTTGCCCTGGGAAGAGGCTGTATACCTATATCTTCCTTCCAGTTACAGATGTGGTTGTCCCTTCTGGATTCCTCCACGCTGCCAATACCATGGATATGTTTGGCATGAGACACAAGGCCTCCCCTGCTCACCTCCAGAAGCTAATGTGAGGTACCTCATAGGGAGGATAAACCCAGAAACTACCTAGAAGAGGCAAGAAGACCCTTGGCCTGTTGCCTACTCAGGAGGTAAGCAAAATGGAAAGAGATGTGGATTCTGGGGCACTGTTGAGATCGGGGGCTGGTTAGAGGCTCCCCTCCCCCAGTGGGCAGTGTGGCTGTTGCAAAAGAGCCTGAGTGAAAGCTTTTGCCACTGTCACACAGTGCCCTCAAAACACCTTGCTCATAATTGGTGTTCAAGGAGTATTTGCTGAATTTGCCCATTTGAGTGGCCTAGGAAAGTCTAACCTATGAATCAGTGTTTGTGGTAAATCCTATAGAAAGGAAATGAAGTTCTCTTTTTATTGGTTTTTCTGTTTCCTGTGTTCCCTGGGGTATCAACAATGCCATTCTGGGAGACTGGAGAGAGAAACTAGGAGTGCTGAAAGATGGCAAGCTGACACTTTGCCTGCTGCCTGCTGGAAGTGAGCCTCACTGGCTCAGTCCTGGAGTGTTACCTTAATCAAATCTCTTCTACAGGCTCAGCTCAGAAGCCAAGAGAGGAAGAGGAGGGTGTCTAAGTTTTCATAAAACCAGGGCCCACTTTCTCTTCTCTTTCTACCCAAATACCTTGCAAATAATCATTTGCCTGTGGAGAAAGTGAGAGGAAACTGGGTCAATAGAGTGGTCAAGAAAGCCAAACCCATTTTTCTCTCTACCCTCCTGGAAGGAGCCATGCCGTCTACAGTAAAACCCCATTGAAACAGATATACAGCCATAGAAAACCATCCGCCCAAATGAATCCATGCGTGTGTACTATGTTTAATCTCTTCCACCAGTAGGGGTAAGGGGTTTCATGCATTCTGACAAGGCTACTTAAACAGAGAATAAGAGGAAAAGGGTTCTCAGGAGAGCTAGAGCCCAGGGAAAACAGGACTCCCTGACTCATGCCCTCCCTGGAATATTAGCCTCACCTGCAATGGGGGGTCCAGCAATCATTGGCAGGGCCATCATGCCCAGGAGGTAGCCAATGGCCTGTGAGGCCTGCATTGGGCCCACCAGTTCAAATGCAATGGGTGCCATGATGGTGATGAAGAAGCCGTCGCACAGGCCCAGGAAAAGGCATACAACAATGAGGCCCCCGAAGTCCTGGCACAGGGGAATCATCATGGACATCAGGCCCAGAAGCAGGAAGGAGAGGACCTAGAGGAACAAGGGCCTAACGTCATGTTTTGCTGGCTAGTCAAGACCACATAGCAAATCACATCTCCATTCTCAGGTCTTCATTTCTACCATCTATAAAATGGGGGGGGGGTGTCAACAGGGAGAGCAGTTGGACTAAACAGTTACTCAGTCCCCTTCTAAGTCCTGCACTGAAGTATTCAAAGTCTTTAAGAGAGCTCCTACTTTACTGTGATTCTGTCAGGATAAAAAGAAAAGGGAAGACATGGCCCTTGGCCTCAAGAAGTTTGTCTTTGTACTGGACGGACCCCTGAGATAAAGCAAATTGTTGTTTCTGCTTTCTGATCCTGTGTTTGGCTGCCGTAGGAATCAGGGCCTGGGATCAGGCCATGTTGGTATTCTCAGATCCAAGTAAATGGGAAGAAGGGGAGGAAGTAAGGATGACTAGCAAAATGATTAGATGGGGAGCAGAATAGAAGGCACAGCTTTCTGAAATGGGGAAGGAGCCAGTGCCCATTTTGTGGGAGAGTCAAGAAACATGACGTTTTGTGGGAGGAAGTGAGGATGATTGGCAAAATGATTAGATGGGGGGCAGAATAGAAGGCACAGCTTTCTGAAATGGGGAAGGAGCCAGTGCCCATTTTGTGCCATTTTCTGATTTTAGAGAAGACCTTGGCATGAAGGATACCATTATGAGGTTCACTCAGATTCCTTACACTTTAGGACATGGGACACACCACCCATCTCAGGCAGACAGCATGACTCTGGGGGCCTCTGGGCTTGGCTGGGCACCCTGAGTAGGCAATAAAGAGGGCTTTCAGGGGAACCAAACCACTAGGATGGTGTCTATGGAGCCTGAAGCCAGCCCAGGAGTACTGGCTAGCCACTGGGCTTTCCTTGGGCTGAGCAAAATGACTCCAAAACAAAGAAGCTGCCATTTCAGAGACTGGTATTTCCCTCTCAGCAGAGATAGGGGCTATTGCAAACCCAGCTGGTCTTTTGATTAGGTCATTTACAACCTGTGTCAGTGAGACAGACTGAAGACCTGGGCTGCAGGCAGAGAAAGGAGCCCCCATCCTCTGCCAACCCCCTGTAGCTGGCAGAGCCAGGTTGTCCCATGGCCAAGGCATCTGTTTACCATGGCCTTAACAAACCCCAGGATTTTCCAATAGTCCACACAGGCCGACCAACTTACCTAGGAACACATGGAAGGACTGAGGGATCAAGGCTGTTTCATGCCTTATAGATTTCCTGTGTTGTTGATGGAAGTAGGTTTGTTAGGTTGATCAGTTGGCTTTTGGTGAGTATAATGCTATCCGAGGACATCTCTTTGTTGGGGAACCTTTGTATTTTGCCCAGGCTGTTTTGAGGTAGCTAGGCAGAAGCTAGGAGTAAGAACCCAGGCAACCTAGGTTCTCATCTAGGAGATTCACTACACACAATTGTGAGATAAAACCAGACTCACCTATCAACCAAGCACATTATGGCAATTAAAAATTAATACCATTATATAACACAAAGGACTCCATTAACTGACTTTAATCAGCTCTAATTACTACCTGTCATATCTAGCTGCCTATTAACATCCTCTATGAGGCCTTGCCAAGGTTTGGAAATTAAAAGTCCTTCTTGGAACTGAGAATCAGGCCTCAAGGATTGGCCCAAAGTGAAGCTGTCCTGCAGGTTGTCACCATTTCCTTTCCAACAGACTATCCAGGGGCTTGGCAGCAGATATATATGCCTGTCTTGGCTAATAGTAGGAGCCACAGGGTCAAGGAACCTGAAGCTGTGTACACTCCTTCCCTCCCCTAGGTCTGTACTCCTGCATCTGACTCGGAGAAAAGGAGGTGAATTCCTGTGATGAGCATCTTGAGAAACTTAAGAGAAAGGAGAAGGTCATCCATTGTCCTGTGCTCTTCACCTAAGACACTCAATTTGTAAAATGAGGAAGTTGGACTACAAGTTGATGAAGATATGTTTCAGCTACACTGCTTTAAGATTATTTTACATTATGCTAAGTGGTAAAACTGAGACAAGTAAGAGTCAAGAAAAGGGGCAGGCATGTCCCCCGCCGATGCCCGCAACCAGCCCAGTGACAACCACTGAGCCACAGCAGTAAGCACCCTGGGCTCTCCTGAGCCAGGGTGGTGGGGGGGCCTTGGGCCTTGGCCACATCCCCCTGACACTTGCAACCAGCCCAGCAATGACCACCGAGCCACTGCAAGAAGCAGCCTGGGCTCCCGAGCTGGGGTTGTGGGGGATGAGGGCTTCAGCCCAGCAATAATCAAGACACCACTGGAAGCCCCCTGGTCTCCCCTGCAGGAATGAGGGGGGTGCCACAGGCTTCAACCCCGCCCTTCCTCCTTCCTCTTTCTCCCATCCTATTGCCTTCCCCTTTCCCCTTTCCCCCTTCTGCTCTGCAACAACATCATAGAATGTAAAAAATAATAATAACATTAATAAATAAATAGACTTAAAAAAAAAAAAAAAGAAAAGGGGCAGGAATGCTGGATAGGGGGGGGAAGGAGTCAGCAGAAGCACTGGGTCCTAAGCCTGCTCAGTCTCTGACTTACTAATGCCTACCCCTCCCTTGTAACTCCCACTGCATGATAGCAAGCAAAAGTTGCTCAGGCCCTACCTCTCTCCTAGGGACTTTGGTAAGAATCACATGAGCTATATGGCTAGGCAGGGGCTGCTGCCTCTCCTCAAGATAAAGTCCTGGCCCAATGCCAGATTACCCTGATTTCCAGAACCCTTTGGCATCTTAGCACTGCTGATACCGGCAGGGAAGACCCACAGGTGTGGCATCTGGAAGAGGCTGGGAAAGCCACCCAGATAAAGCACTTGCTGATATTTGCACAGGAATTCACAATTTTATAATTGGTTTATCTCAATCACAAGCTCTTGGTTTGACCTTAGTCAAGTCACTTATCATCTCTGAGTCTTGGCTCTGCCAACCATCACTTAGGGTAAGGTGGAATATGAGAAGTGTGCTGCCTAGGAGTTCAGCTCTTTCACTACTGTCTGTGTGAGCCTTTCCCTCGGTTTCCCAATCAGTGTAATGACAGATTGGGCTGGATGGACTGTAAGGGCACCCCTAGCTCTGACAAAGCAGATTCACCAGCTGTTACAAACTAACACAGAGTTAAATACAACAGGAAAAGTTAATTATCCTTGTCCAAAACATCTGAGGGTATTTAGGAAAGCACTTGGGGCTGTCAGAGACAGAGAAATCCCTGCTGTGAGTGTAGTTAGGGCCCCTTGGATGTGCTTTTAGGGCTTTCCCAAGAGATAAGTGAATCAGAATTCAACCACCTTCCTGATGGATTGTGTGTGTCTACTTGTTTTCAGGGGCTGCCTTTGCCCCTCCACAGGGTTCCGCACTTGGACACTCCTGCTAAGCCCAGCTGCAGGAGCAAAAAGCATGAGCCAAGCCAGAAAGGCAATATTACTGCCAGGTAGATGAATACTGATAACCTGAGTGGTAGTTTGTATTCGTACCAGACCAGAGCCCAGTTCACACAGAAAGTGGCCTCTGGAGAATCCATGTGGCTACTGCCCACAGTATGAGGAAAATTGTGTCACTATGAGAAAGATTAAAACTTTGCATGGCCTGTTTGCATCGCCCAAAGCCTGGTCACGTCTATATTTCTTTTGGTTATCCCCTGTGAGGTGAAAGGCAAGAATTATTCCCATTGCACAAATGAGGAAAGTGAGGCTTGGACAGAGGAAGTGAGTTCTGGCCTTTTCAGGCACTTTTTTTGTGTGTTCATTGATAGGGTGGCATTTGAGAACCAGTGCTTGGTGCCAAGTAGCTCTGGAAGTATAAGAGATGATGAGCTTGGGCCTAGAGTAGAGAGACACTGAGTCACAGGATGCTACAAATGCCCAAGAACCTCAAAGAGAGTATAGGGTCGCAATAAAATCAGTCCTCACTGGGGGAAGCATCTAACTCCGGGCCTCTGCTTCCCCCTTTCAGATGGAGAGCCATTATTAATAAAAACCTCCTTTAAAAGTGTTCTAAGAGGTTCCATATACGTTGCTGTCACTGGATCCTCACTACATCTGGGAAGGAGGCAGAATAGGATGATTGTCTTTGTTTGAAAGTAGGGGAAATTGAGACTCAGAGAATTTGTGGACTTTCCCATGTCAGACAATAAGCTGGTGTCAGCTGGGGCCCAGGGCACTGCAGTGGCATACCCTACCATTCTATCCCAAAGACTGGGGATAACCTAGCATCTGTGGCAGGCTGTTCCTCCTGACAGTGGACAGGTGGTCACACTCACCTGCAAGTAGATCTTTTTAAGTCCAGGAATGGAGTCACTGATGTGGCCTGACACAAGACGCCCAAGGCCTGAGGTAGCCCCAATACACACCAAGAGCACCCAGGTCTCCTTGATTTCCACGAACTCCTCTTCCACATACTTCATCTGAAAAGCATAACACCAGGACCCCCCAGAACAGGAGAAGGAAGAGGAGCTGACTGGTTAACTGTTGGCACATCCGGAATCCTCTCCTGCTTATTTCCCTGGACAACAGCCTCCTCTCCAGTAGCCCCCTCCCCTGTAGCCCTAGCTATGGGACAAGCCCTCTGGCTACTTCTAACAGCCTAAAAGGCTGCTTATCACTTGGCTGTCTGGATTCTGGGCTTCTGAGCAACGACCAAGGGGGGCATGTATCTCCAAGCTCCTTCTAGAATACAGCCTTAAGGACAGAAAATCCAAGGGTTCCTCTACAATATCCCCATTTCCTGACCCAAACTGACAGCCTGGAGCAACATCAAGTCACCAGGAGAGAAGGATCTACCAATTTCCAGGCAACTCTTCCAAAGTGTGTTTTAAGAAACACAAGGTCTGTGGAAGATAACAGCTGGACCCCAACCAACAGTTCTGTGGCCATATAAATTTGATGGATGCTGGGTTAAACAAAGCTGAATGGGTTTCTCTACTGCAGTATTTTTTTAGTACCTTTAAGAGATTACTACACATTATGAAGCTAGAGAGATCTAGTATATGTTATTTCCTAAACAAATTCACCTGACCACAAAGACCAGCATTCCACAGAACACAGTCTTAGAAAACCCTGTCTTGAGTCATCTGGGCCAGTCTCCTGCATTTTGATGATGCTTATCTCCTCCTAGAAATCTGTTTAAATTTTAACTCGGGGGAAAGTCATGGTCCCTGGGCCTTTCCCTAAGGAACGCCCCCATTTTCCATTGAGGTCCTCTCTCAACCTGTGCTCTTTCCCTCTCTGGGTCTCTCCAACCACTGTTTGGCTTCTTTTTCCAAAGGTCCCAGCTCTGCCCTTTTAATGTCCTCCACCCCTACCCTCCGGACTTCAGGTAGGTTGAGGGCAGCTTCTTGTGGCCAGGTGGGCTGAGCCCATCCTGGTATTTCTCACCAGGTGTACATAGGGAACGAAGTAGCCAAGGGCAGCAGCAGCAATCCCAAAGGCCCAGATGCGGTAGGTGCGTTGGCGGAACACTCGCATATTGAAGTACTTCCTGAGCTGAGCCATGAGGCGCTGTTGCAGGGTGTGGACACCTCTCTTGCTTGGGGTGTCCTGGGAGCTGGGCAGGAGGGGCCGGTAGGTAAGTGAGAGCAGCATGAGAACAAACATGAAGGTACTCAGCACCTGGAAGGTTTGGGCCAGCTTGATCTTATCCCCCAGTATTTTGATGAGGAAGGGGAAGGACATGGAGAAGACGCTACTCCCAGCGGACACCACACCATTGGCCAGACCTAGGCGGCGTTGGAAGTAGTGGCCCAGGATGACAAGGGATGGCTGAAAGGCGAAGGAACAGCCACAACCAAAGAGAATCCCGTAGGTGAAGTAGCGCAGGCTTAGGGAGCTGTGGGAGAGACACCGAGAGCTGTCCTCAGCAACCTGACCAGCAATCCGTCACCCCTCCCCACTTCAGCCTCCTGAGACCTCCATTCCTCCACCCTTAACCCACAGCCACTGGCCCTCAGAGCAAAGGAACAGGGCCTTCTGATCCCCATTTTTCAGATGGGAAAGCAGAAGCTCAAAGAGGTAAAGTAATTTGCCCAAGGTAACATAACTGGGGATCAAGTCCTGGACTGAACTTGAATCCAGATCTGTGTGACTCTAGCATGAATCTATCACCCCATCAAAGGGGACTGTTAAAAAGCCGGAATCAGCCTATGCAAAGGCTGGGTGAGGGGCTACAGGGAGGAAGTCAGCACCTCGGAGAGAACAGTTTCACATTACTGCTCACCTAGACACCATGGGTAAGTTGGTGGCCAAAGATTTATCCCAAGTAACAACAACAAAGGTCTGCAAAGAACCAAGATTTTGAAAGACTAAGACCCTCCATAAAACTCTTCAGTATCTGTCCATGCTCAGGGCCTTTAATATTTCAGTGAACGGCTGATGATCTCCTCAGAGACATCCCTTCCCCAACCCTGCTCAAATATCCCAAGACCCTTTACTCCAGGCCCTGGATGATCTCCATGGGAATCCTGAGGTAAGGAGTCCCTTTAACTTAAAAAGTCCTGCCTCTGTTGCTAGACATCGTATGGATTAGTTCCCCAGAGTAGCCTAGCTGCTTGACAGGAAGTGGAGTGTCAAAGAAGTGGGTCTAGCCAAGTAAGACAGGTCCTGGCTTAAAACTGTTAGGCCCTGCTGTGGCCATGAGCCCCTGTAACAGAAGGTAAAATGTCAGAAGGCAAAAGGCCATGAGAAGGTCAGCTTGGCCAGCCATCTGCCCTCAGACAACATTGGCACAACCTAGTGAAGAATTTTGTTTTCTTTTTGATGCCTCCATATATTTTGCAATAGTTCTTATCTGACCACTTAATTACCTAATACTCTTCTTGGTCAGGCAATTCTTCTCCAGAAATACACCCAGTCCTCATACTAAAGGACTGGGCCTATGCTGCAGAGAGGATGTGGTGCTAGCACCTATGATTCCAAGGCTATCATCACCTTTGCTTTCAATCTGCTTATATTCACTGGACATGAGAAGGGGCTTTGGTTTCAAAATGGTTGTCTCCACTTGGAACACATAACTAAGCCAACTTCTCCTCTTCTGTCAGGTTCCTTAGGGCCTGCTCCCATTAAATTCTAGATACCCTGTGGATTGTCCTGGACTGGGAACTTTGTCTAAGGAACAGGATTTAGACCTTCAGGTAGGGGATCGGTGGGAGCAAAATATGGGATGCAATTCAGTGTGCTGTGTGGTGGATCTGTTTCTAGCTGGGCCCCAGGACAGGAAGCCCCTGACTTGGGCTTGCCAAAAAGCCTCACCAGCCTTGCCTGCACTCTGTCCCATTCCACCAGAGAAACTCAGAGTCCTGATTGAGACAACAGGAAGGATGACTTAGAGCTCTAGCCGCAAGCAAAACTATTTTTTTCCACTGGACGTGAAACCATCCAGAAAGTTTCTTGGCTCTGAAGATTTTCTTACAGAAAGGGCAAAGAGGGTAGGGGAGGGAGTTAGGGGTTGGAGAACAGAACGCTTACTCCGATGTGTCTAAAGATGAGAGCCAGAAGAAAACACCACATCTAAGCTCCTTCCCCTCCTGTAACTGAGCCCATGTGGATTGGAAAGGAAATGGGATCCGTATGTTGCTAATTTGTTTACAAGTTGCTCTGCTTGGCCTTAAAAAACAGGCCTCTGCTGTGTAGTGCTGAGACTGGAGCCACTTCTCAGGCCTAGCTCCTCCCCACAAGGTGCCAGGCACTAGCTTCCTGGGGGCAAATAAGGCCGACCACCAGAGGGGCCCTGAAAAGGGTTGGAGCTGCTGCCCTGGGAGGGCTGAGCAGGTTCCAGGCAGGGCATGGTTTTTTCCTCCTCTGTCCCAGTTGGATGTGATGGAGCCAAGAAACCACTGCAGGCCAAATCCAAGCTCTGCTGGGGGTTAGGCTGGGCAGCCAGAAATGCTCAAGTCATAAAGAAAGCTGGCTCACCCACACAGGGCCCAGTGGAGGCAGACACAATTAGCATTCTCCATTGGGAGTGGAACCTTAGGCCTAGAGAGCCATGGCCCTTCTCTGGAGTGACAACCTCAGAAAACAAGTCTCTGCAAGTTAGCTGTGCCCTCATTCCACACATGTCACTGTGGCCATTTCTGTGTCTCCAGGCCAGCATTCTCCTATATAAGCTCAGACAGTTTGGAAATAGGAGGTACCATAACTTCCAAAGTGTCTTTTGCAGAAAGTCTATGGAGTTCTTTAGGAATCCCGTATTCCTCAGGCTGTGGTGTAGGGTCTTTATTCTCCCCTCCCCTATACACATGCTCCTGCAGGGCTGGCAGAAGAGAAAGCAAAAGATGAACTTGTAGCCTGCTCCTCACCTGATACTACCAAGTTCTGCCAGTGGGACCACTGGGACTAGGGTTTGAGTTTTGCCTAGGCCTAGCTGGGTAGCTGAGTTCTGGATCTGTACCTCAGTGAGGGCTGCTGCTAAACATCCTTCTCATGCCCAAGACAGGAATCTTTATCTGTCCCAAATCATCCATACATTGGTAGCCAGAGATACCTGGAAAAGGGCCAGAAATGCTACAACAGCCTTGGGCTCAGCTGACCTCTTTTTCAACATAAGATTCCTTCAGGAATCCTGGAATGCTAGGTGTTCACATGGGCTCCCTCAATAAGCTCATTCCTGGGAGGGAAGGTGAAGTCATGAGATGTGTGGTACATTGAAGGAGAATCGAATGGCAGAGCTGGAATAGACATGAAATGCCCATCTGGTCTAATCCCTTCGTGTTGCAGATACAGAAATTGGGGCCCAGAGAAGGAAATGGTACTCATCAATTTTTCCATAGCCATAGCCATCCCCTGGCCAAAGCTGGACTTGGGCTCAGCTCTACAAATTACCAGGCTTAGACTCCTCCCACCACTTTGGAACTCTTGGGTCCTCTTTGGAGATATTCCCTACCAATGTGTTCTGGGGACTCTACCTAGATGAGTCCCAGTGGGTCATAAATCCTGGGAGCAGGGTCTCAAGGGCCCTATATGGCCATGGCCACAGGGGATTCTTCATTGAGGAGTGTCCCTAAGCTGAAGCCCAGAAAGAAGCCCACTGTCAGCTTTGGGGAAATGGCTGGAAACCCCTAGCCTTACCTGGTGAAGGAGCTGGTATGAAGGCCAATGAAAGCAACGGCAGCCCCCGCAGTTGCTGTGATTCGGCAGCCCAAACGGTCAGTGAATATACTCACAATGGGAGAACAGAAGAAAATCATGCCCATCGCAAGGGCTCCTACCCATGCTGCAGAGAAAAGAAGCACAAAGACACTTTAGCTTAATGTGGTGCCTGGTCGTGCTGCTGGTGTCTTAGTTTTTCTTCTCTGGCTTTTCAGGGGGGCATTGCATTGATCTACACTGCCAGCTTGCCGGTCTCTGATGGTCAGAGAGGTGTGCAAGCAGAGGCTATGTATAAAACAGAGCATTCCAGCACTGGTGTCAGATTTAGACTAGCCAACATTTCAGGCCATTCTAGTGATGCTAAGCCAGATCTATAGCCTTAGGCACTGAGCTACTTGGCTTCACGAACAAGGAACATTGGAGATTAACGTTTCAGGAGCTAACATCAGCCCTGTCTTCGTCAATGGAACAACTCTGTGAAGATGCTAAGACTAAGGAGCAGGGAAGGCCACAGACAAAAGCCTCCTGGAACTGCACTAGGATGCAGGGCAGGTTTGGGGCCACCCAAAGATTTCTAAGGATACTATGTAAGAGGGTCATGTAACCCTCATGCTGAAATTCTTCATCAGAGCCCATGTTTGGCAAATCCCTGACTCCAAACTCAAGTAAGAAGAGTTTATCTTGCTTTTAAAGGCTCTTAAGTGTAACAATCCTCACCAGGGAGGGAGAAATTTGCCCTTTTACTTATATCCTTCCAGCCCATTTTCCCTTGCTCAGCCTTCAAAAGGAAAGCCCAAGCTTTTTCTTTCTCTTTTTAATTTATTATTTTTATTATGGTAATATATATAACATAAGGAATGCCTTTTTAAGCATTTCTCAACATAAAATTGCATGGAATTAACTACACCCACAATGCAATGCTATGTGAGCACCACCTCTATCTATTTCTAACCAAGTTTTTTTCTTTTGAAGGCTGTTATCAAATTTCATCTTGAGCCTCTCTTTTCTAGGCTAAATAATCTTAGTTCCTTTAACTTTTCTTCTTTAATTTCTAACTCTGTAATTACTTTCAGAGCTCTCCACTGAGAGTGTTCTAAGTCTTCATCATCATCAAAAAGCATTCATTGAGTGTCACCTGAGCATGGTGCTGGGCCACTTCTGGCTCTCTTCAGTTATGGAACCCCAAGTGGGCCAGAGGAGTGCAATCTGAGTGAGGTCAGGGCTAGTCCACTGCCCCTCTTAACCTCAGTGCCAAATAAGTTGTTCAGCTCCCCGTTGGGAATCTTCACTTTGCTGGGGCCCCATCCTGAACTCTAGTTACCTGGCTCCAAAATTACTGATGTGGGACAGCAGGAGACCTGGACTTTCCTCACAATTTCACCTCTTATCTTGTAATTTCACCTCTTACTAGCTGTGGGACCTTGAGAAGTCACACAATACTTCTCTAATCCTCAGTTTTCTCATTTGTGAAATGGAGATTAAAATTCCTGATGTACCTTCCTCAAAGTTTTTTTTAAATGATTATCAGTCATAATCATATGTATAAGAAAGCTTTGTAAATGTCAATAATCAAACTATATACAAAATCAATGCAAAATAGATCATAGATTTAAATGTAAAACTTAAAACTATAAAACTTCTAGAAGAAAGTATAGGAGAAAAATCTTTCTCACTTTTGGTTAGGCAAAAATTTTGTAGATATTCACAAAAAGTATAATCCATAAAAGAAAATATTTGACACATTGTACTTCATCAGAATTTAAAACTTCTGTTTGAAAAATTGTTATAAAAGTGAAAAGGCAAGCCATAGACTGGGAGAAAGTTTTGCAATACATATCTGACAAAAGACTGGTATCTAGCATACAAGTGTGAGTTGACTCACAACTCAATAAGAAGAAAGCAAACAATACAATTTAAAATAGGGGCAAAAGACTTGAACAGACATCAAACATACACACACATAATAAGAATGGCAATTAAACACATGAAAAGATGCTCAGCATCATTAATCATTTGAGAAATGCATATTGAAACCACAATGACATACCCCCTGCACATCCACTAAAAATGCTTTAAAATAATGATATACTTAGTACTGGGGAGGATGTGGAGAAACTGGAAATCTCACACACACTGCTAGTGGGAATTCAAAATAGTGCACTCACTTTGTTTGTTTGTTTGTTTGTTTTTGTCCTTTGTGAGACCAGCCGCACCGCGCTCAGCCAGTGAGTGCTGCGAGCGCACCGGTCATCCTATATAGGATCCGAACCTGCGGTGGGAGCGCTGCTGCGTGCCCAGCACCGCACTCTCCCGAGTGCGCCACAGGCTCGGCCCTCCCTTTTGAAAACAGTTGGCAACTTCTTCTGAAGTTAATCATACACTTACCATATGACTCTGAAATCCCACTCTTAGGTAGTTACTCAAGATAAACAAAAACTTATGTTCATACAAAAACTTGTATCTAGATGGTTATAGCAGCTTTTTTCATAATTGTCAAAACCTGGCAACAATGCACATGTACTTCAACTGGTGAATGAATAAACAAATGGGTATATATTAATACGGTGGAATACAACTCAGCAATGAACAGAAATGAACTATTGATACAGGCAACGACTTGAATGACTCTCAGAGGCTTTATGTGAACTGAAAGAAAGCAAACTCAAATGAGTCCACTTACAAGAAATTCTGGAAAAGACAAAACTATGGTGACAGAAAATCAAATCAGTGGGTGCCAGGAGGAGAGATGGGGGAAGAGGATTGACTACAGAGAGGCATGAGGGAACTTTCTGGGGTGATGGAAATGTTACATATCTTGACCTTGTGGTGGTACTCCTTTATCAAAATTCATAGAACTGAGCATATAAAAAGGGTGAACATTACCATATGTAAATTATATCCCGATAAATCTGATGTTATAAAAAACGGGGAGAGGGCAGAAAAGCAGAAAGTGCCAGTTTGAGATCTCATTTATGAGGTACATATTTTTATTCTGGCCAGAATTTTTTTAAAAAAAATCTCAGTTGTATTGTCAAAGAGGAAAAAAATAAATTAGTAAATCGCCTTACTGATATTCTATAACTAGAATTCACCATCACTTGGCCTTTCTGAATACCTACAATACAGTGAAAACTGATGATTAGGATTGTAAGGTATCTTTTGTACAAAGTAAGTCAGTTTGTTTGTTTATTTATTTATTTAGCAACTGGCTGGTATGAGACTTCAAACCCTTGACCTTAGTGTTATAAAACCATACTCTAACTGACCAAGCTAATCAGCCAGCCCTATACAAAGTGAGTTTAAATTATATTTGATACAGCTTTTTAAAGTCTGTTTGGTTTCTTAAAAAACTTTTTTTTATTTTGAAATAATTATAGATTCACAGGAAATAGCCAAGATAGTTCAGAGAGGTCCCGTCAACCTTTCACTGTTTCTCATTATGTAACTATAGTACAATATCAAAACCAGGAAATTAACAGTGGTACGATGTATGGGTATAGATCTGTGTAATTTTATCATGTGTGGATTCCTGTAACCACCATCACAATCAAGATACAGAACTATTTCATCACCACAAAGATCTTTGTGCTATCCCTTTATAGTCATACCCAGCCCATTCCCCCACCATCCCTATCTTTGCAATCACTAATCTGTTTTTCATCTCTATAATATTCTTATTTCAAGAAAGATATATAAATGGAGTCATACAGTATGTGATCTTTTAAAATTGGCTTTTTTTTACCCAACATAATCTCCTGGAGATACATATTTGAAGTGAGTTTCTTAAAGGCAGCATATAGTTGGGGCATTTTTTTTTTTCTATCTACTCTGCCTATCTCTGTCTTTTGATTTATGTATTTAGACCATTTACGTTTGATGTAATCATTGATATGTTAGGGCCATTTTATTTTTGTTTCCTTCTTTTTCCTACCTGCCTACTGGTTACTTTAACAGTTTTTAGAATTTCATTTTAATTTATTTTTTGTCTTTTTTTTTTGTGACTGGTAAGGGGATCGCAACCCTTGGTTTGGTGTCGTCCGCACCACGCTCAGTCAGTGAGCGCACCGGCCATCCCTATATAGGATCCGAACCCACGGTGGGAGCGCCACTGTGCTCCCAGCGTCACACTCTCCTGAGTGTGCCACAGGGCCGGCCCGATTTTAATTTATTGATAGTGCTTTTGTGTGTATCCCTTTGTATACCTTTTCTAGTGGCCACTAAAAATAGTACTCAAAGAAATCACATTTTATGTATATAACATCACAGTTTACTGTTATTGATATTTTACTAGTTTGAGTAGAGTGTAAAAAGCTAACCTCCTTTATGTCACTTAACCCTCCCCTATTTATAATATAATTGTCTTAAATATTTCCTCCATATACATTGATAACCACTTTAGGCATCATTATAATTTTTTCTTCAACTGTTAGACAATTTAGAAAATACACAAAGAGAAGGAAAGTCTATCATGTTTACCCAGAATTTTACTCTTTCCACTCTTATTTCTTCCTTCCTGGTATTCCAAGATTCCTTTTTTTACTGTTTCTTTTCTGATTAGAGAACTTCCTCTAGCCATTCTTTTCGGGTAGGTCTGTTGGTGACAAATTCTCTTAGTTTTCCTTCATCTAAGAATGTTTTGATTACCCCCTCCATTCCCGAAGAATATTTTCACTGGATATACAATTCTGGGTTGATAGATCTTTTCTTTCAACACTTGAAAAATGTTTTGCCACTTCTTCCTGTTGCCCTCCATGGTTTCTGATGAGAAATCCACTGTCATTCGAATTGTTTTCCTCCTAGAGTTAAGATGTCATTTCTCTCTTGCTGTTTTCAAAATGTGTGTGTGTGTTTAGTTTTCAGAAGTTTGACTATGATGGGTCTTGGCATAGATTTCTTTGAGTTTCTCCTCTTTAGGGTTCTCTCAGCTTCTTGAAACTTCTTGATTTGGGAAGTTTTCAGCAATTATTTCTTTGAGTACCTATTTAGCCCTACCTTTATTTCTCCTCTCCTTCTGGAATTCCTCTGAGGCTCTGTTCATTTTTTTTTTTTCCTCAATCTCTTTTCTCTCTGCTGTTCATATTGGACAATTTTTATTGTTCTGTCTTCAAGTTCACTGATTCTTTCCTCCGTCCTCTCTATTCTGCTGTGAAGCCTATCCAGTAAGGCTTATTTTATTTTTATTATTGTATTTTTTCAGTTCTAAAAACTTCCTTTTCTTTTGTCTTTATGTCTTCTGTGTATTTGCTGAGATTTAGTATTTTTTCATTTAAGTATGACTGTAATGGCTTGTTGAAGCATTTTTATGATGGCTGCTTTAAAATCCTCACCACATAGTTCTAATTCTGTGTCATCTTGGTATTGGTGTCAGTTGATGGTCATTTCTCATTGAAGTTAAGATTTTCCTGGTCCTTGGTGTAATGAATAATTTTCTATTGTATCCTGGGCATTTTGGATATTATGTTATGACACTCTGGATCTTATTTAAATCTTGTGTTTTAGCAGACCTCCTCTAACACTGTGCCAGATAAGAGTGAAAGTCCAGGTTTCCTGCTCATCCTCCATTGATATCCTGGGGTGAACAGGTGCCTTGTTATTGCTAAGCAGGGGTGGGTGTTCAAAATCCCCACTAGGGTTTTTCTAATAATATATCTCTGGTTGGGGGTGGTAGGGGTCTCTTGTTATTTTTTCCAATGTGGCTTCAACTGACACTATATCGAGCAATGGTGAAAGTCCCATTTTCTTACTTGTCCTCCACTTACACTATCTTGGCACCTTGCCAGAAATGGGAGGGGTGGTCGGAGGTTACAGTCTGGCACAGGTAAAAGTCCAGGCTCCCTACATGGTCTCCACTGACAACTTGGGGGAGGAGTAGGCCTTGTTAATTTGCTGAGGGGGAGGAAATTCCTGGCTCCTACTCAGTTTTGTTTTACACCACCTTGGCATAGGAAGGGGGTGGGTTGGGGCACCTTGTTACAGCTGGGTGAGTGTAGAAGTCTAGGCTCCCCACTAGGCCTTTGCTGGCAAAGATTGAGTGGGGTGCATTTTTTTCCATGGTGTTTGGCTGGAGTAGAAAGGTTATTGTCTAAAGGTTTTTTGTCTTGCTAGGCTGCCCCTTTCTTGG